AACATCGAATGATTTCTGGTTATTGAAAGGCAACGCTTTCATTGCTTCTTCATAAAACGCTGTTCAAATCGGGGGAAAGCAATGATTGCGTAATCCGGAGTAACAGATTGTCTTCGCGGCGCTGTCACTATGACGTAAGTTAAACTTTATTGAACGACTAACGCGATGTAGCCGTTCAAATAGAGTGACGGTTCAATGAAGATACGATTGCCGCGACGTGCCATTGAATGATGTGGCATTGGGGACCGCGTCGCGATCGCGAACGTCACGACGTTCTTTAGCGTCACATGAAAATTGATAGCCGCCACGCGCATTACACGTTGCATGCATGCAATGTCACGACGAAGAAGCGTCGGTTAAAAATATAATGCAATATCTTTCCTTGAATTTTTCGTGAAGCACGTGGCGCGTTCTTCCCGTTCTTCGTATGAGTTGCAATTCGTTTATTTAAACTTCCGTCCGTTGTTTACGCGTGTGCAATCGGCGCATCTGACAGTTTGGTGCTATTCGGAGCTACGCCCACTTCGAGAACATATTCTTACGTTCTCCGATATGAGTTGTTGCAAATAGACGCGTGAAAGCACTCGTGGTAGAACGACGGTTCTTGACTATTGTTTAATCTTAATGGCTAATTGCACGGGAAGTATCACGACCTACGTTTTCCATTGCGATTAAATAGAAATTTCGAAAAGAGAAAATATCTTTTTATTTCAGAAGTCCTTCTCAGAAACAACTGAATGTTTAGAGAATTTAATTTTGTTTTATCAAAATATTTTTCAATCGTTAATTTCATGAAGATTAATTTAATTGTTAGTGGTGGAAAAATTTAAATAACTTAATTTTTTATGATTAATTATAACTGTAAAAATAATGCTGATAATAAATATATAGTACAAAAAAATAGAGAAAAAATTGTGTAGCACTATTTATTTTGAGTATATTAAGTGCAATTACTCAAGTGAATACTTGAATTGATATTATCGAAAAAAAAAAAATATTTAAATTAAAATTAACTTGTAAAATGTTGAATTTTGTAAACTATATTCAGCTGTGTCACAATGAGATGAGATGAGTTTATTTGCGTTTGTTTGCTTTCGTTTGATTTGGATCCAGTTTTGTTCACGAATGTTAAAATGACAAAGTCTGATTTTCTTTTTTTCGATTCGTCGAAGCGATTCATATAGTTAGGAGAAAAGATTTATGACATTAAACGACTTCGCAGAAACGCCTCATTTATGATACCGTTAATGAGGCGTCGCGTCTTGTCGCTTTGTTTTTTAAATCGGTGCGTTTCGCAGCCTGCGCTTCCTACGTCGTGGATCCCTACTCGTCGTCGTCGGCGGGAAGAAAAGCGGGGTCGAGACAGCACGCATGGAGGCTCTCAGGAACGTCGTAGTATCGACTGGCCAATAGCCGGTCGTGCCGAGCTCACGCCATGTACGACGTCGGCGCCGTCGTGTGAATCCATTCTCCTTTCGGACGTCGCGCCAACATTTTCGATCCGACGCGCGACGACGCTCTGTGTTAACTTTCCCCAACTTCGCGCCGCAAAAGAAACCGACGGCGTAATTAACGGCGAGAGGCGAGTCGCGGATTCAGATCAATCGGGCATTTAAATTTAACTCCGGTGTTACTACCATGGGTGAAAGAAAACGCTCTATGTAGTTAAATTCATACTGAACTTCACCGGCGTGACGTTCATCGATTTGATTGTCATCGATTTTAATTAATTAAAAAATATAATAAAACGATTATTAAAAAAATTTTTTTTAAAGCTATTAAAAAATTAAATCTTTTGCAAGTCTGGATGAAGTTTTACTTCGAGAAAACATTATTGAACTAAGGCAAACTAAGGAAAACAGGAAAAAATAGGATAAAGATAAGGAATAAATTTTCAGATTGCACCGCATCTCGCAATCTTGATTCGGAACATCTGCTCCTTTCGCATTCGTTATTTCTTCTTTTTTGCCATCTGTTCTTGAGTAGAAACTTCTTCGTATATTTTCTGGAAAACTTAAAGAAAAAGAACAGCACGTAGTGACTTGAAAAATAATATATAATGTACATAAAAATATAGAAAAATAGAGAGTAAAAAAGCTCGTTAGTTTGCACAGCAAAAATACCAAATAGTAACGATCAAAATACGAACAAGTTTTTTTTAAATAATACATTAACTTTTATTATTTAAGAGAATATAAAATGAAAACATTTCGAAGTCTTCATCAAAAGTTTCTAGTAAATAAAATATCAATACATTTCATAAATTAATCTTAAATTCAAATAAAGTAAATTTTATTAATAATTATTGATATAATAAAATATTGTTAATAACTGTTGAATAATTATAAGTCAAGAACGAGAAATTGTAATTTACTTTACAATGAGACCCAAATGTAGCATTAGATGTTGAATTGTATTTTAATTTGATATCGCATTGCATTTCCATTTCGTTGTCATCTTGATGGCGTATAATATTATACATTACACGCGCGACTCGAGGGATTCAAGGTAGGCAATGAAAAGTAAACGCAGCCGTAAAAATGATTTATATTTATAGTATAAAAACATAGAATCTAACGTATAATGACAATATGCTTTTTATGATCGACAACGGCGCGCCGCAACGTAATGTTTCTCGTAATCAAGAAGTGATTATACATAAATTAAGGAACCGACGACACATAAAAAAACCTCCACTCGCGAGTATATCGTTTTTCGTGCGTTCGTCGCATTACAGTTGCGTGCACCAGATACGCGACGTAATTACCGCACGAAAGGCGGTCGCTATTTTTTCTTATGAAAAGTCCATTAAAAGTCATGA